AAGGAATGATAAAATTAGAACTTCACCATTTTGCAACTAATTAAAATAAGGAGCCCTGGTGGTGTAGTGGTTAAGAGCGTGGCTGCTAACCAAAAGGTTGGCAGTTCAAATCTACTAGCCACTTCTTGGAAATCCTATAGGGCAGTTCTACCCTGTCCTATAGGGTTGCTATGAGTTAGAATTGACTTGATGGCAATGGGTTTGGTTTGGTTTAATTAATAATAAAGGATTGGTAGTTGGAAAATACAGCCTTGGTGATAGAAATGATGTAGGAGATCATATGATAGAATTTTGCAAGACCAACGACTTCTTCATTGCAAATACCTTTTTTGAACAACATAAATAGTGACTATACACGTGGACCTCGCCAGATGGAATACACAGGAATCAAATCGACTACATCTGTGGAAAGAGATGATGGAGAAGCTCAATATCATCAGTCAGAACAAAGCCGGGGCTGAATGTGGTACAGACCATCAATTGTTCATATGCAAGTTCAAGTTGAAGCTGAAGAAAATTAGAATAAGTCCACGAGAGCCAAAGTACAACCTTGAGTATATCCCACCTGAATTTAGAGACCACCTCAAGAATAGATTTGACACATTGAACACTAATGACTGAAGACGAGAGGAGTTGTGGAATGACATCAAAGACATCACAGATGAAGAAAGCAAAAGGTCATTAGAAAGACAGGAAAGAAAGAAAAGACCACAATGGATGTCAGAAGAGACTCTAAAATTTTTTCTTGAACGCCGAGTAGCTCAAGTGAAAGGAAGAAATGATGAAGGAAAAGAGCTGAACAGAAGATTTCAAAGGCAGCTTGAGAAGACAAAGTAAAGTATTATAATGAAATGTACAAAGAAAACCAAAGGGGAAGAATATGCTTGGCATTTCTCAAGCTAAAAGAACTGAAGAAAAGATTCAAGCCTCAAGTTGCAATATTGAAGGACTCTATGGGGAAAATATTGAACGACACAGGAAGCATCAAAAGAAGATGGAAGAAATACACAGAGTCACTGTACTAAAAAGAATTGGTCAATGTTCAGCCATTTCAGGAGGTAGCATACGATCAAGAACTGATGGTACTGAAGGAAGAAGTCCAAGCTGCACTGAAGGGGATGGCGAAAAACAAGGCTCCAGGAATTGATGGAATACCAATTGAAATGTTTCAATAAAGGGAGGTAGTACCAGAGGTGCTCACTCATCTATGTCAAGAAATTTGGAAGACAGCTTTCTGGCCAACCAACTTGAATAGATTCATATTTGTGCCTATTCCAAAGAAAGGTGATCAAACAAAATGTGTAAATTACTGAACAATATCATTAATATCACACACAAGTAAAATTTTGCTGAAGATCATTCAAAAGCAGTTGCAGCAGAACATCGACAAGGAACTATCACAAGTTCAAGCCAGATTCAGAAGAGGATGTGGAATGAGGGATATCATTGTTTATGTCAGATGGATCCTGCCTGAAAGCAGAGAATACCAGAAAGATCTTTACCTGTGTTTTATTGACTATACAAAGGCATTCAACTGTATGGATCATAACAAAGTATGGTTAACAATGTGAAGAATGGAAATTCCAGAACACTTAATTGTGCTCGTGCGGGACATGTACATAGACCAAGAGGCAGTCATTCCAACAGAACAAGGGGATACTGCACGGTTTAAAATCAGGAAAGGTGTGTGTCAGGGATGTATCCTTTCACCATATTTATTCAATCTGTATGCTGAGCAAATAATCCGAGAAGCTGGAGTAGATGAAGAAGAACCCAGCATCAGGATTGGAGAACAATCTTTGATATGCAGGTGACACAATCTGTCTTGCTGAAAATGAAGAGGACTTGAAGCACTTACTGATGAAGATCAAAGCCTTCAGCATGGGTTGAACCTCAACATAAAGAAAACAAAAATCCTCACAATTAGACCAAAAAGCAACATCACAATAAATGCAGGAAATATTGAAGTTGTCAAGGATTTCCTTTTATTTGGATCTACAATCAACACCCATGGAAGCAGCAGTCAAGAAATCAAACGATGTATTGTATTGGGCAAATCTGCTGCACAAGACCTCTCTAAAGTCTTAAAAAGCAAAGATGTCACTTTGAGGACTAAGGTGCTCTTGACCCAAGCCATTTTCAATCACCTCACATGCATATAAAATTTGGACAATGAATAAGGAAGACTGAAGAAGAACTGACGCCTTTGAATTATGGTGTTGACCAAGAATATTGAATATACCATGGACTGCCAGAAGAACAAACAAACCTATCTTGGAAGAAGCACAGCCAGAATCTTCCTTAGAAGCAAGGATAGCAAGACTTCATCTCATGTATTTCGGACATGTTTCCAGGAGGGACCAGTCCCTGGAGAAGGACATCATGCTTGGTAAAATAGAGGATCAGTGAAAAAGAGGAAGGCCCTCAACGAGATGGATTGATACAGTGGCTGCAACAATGGGCTCAAGTATAACAATGATTGTGAGGATGGTGCAGGACAGGGCAGTGTTTTGTTCTGTTGTACATAGAGTTGCTATGAGTTGGGACCGACTCGATGGCACCTAACAACAACAAGTAATAATGAGGAGCCCCGGTAGTATAGTGGTTAAGCACTCAGCTGCTAATTGAAAGGTTGGTGGTTCGAATCCACTAGCTGCTCTGTGGCAGGAAGATGTGGCAGTCTGCTTCCTTGAAGATTACAGCCTTGCAAACCCTATAGGGCAGTTCTACTCTGTCCTTAGGGTCACTGTAAGTCGGAATTGACTTGACAGTAATGGGTATGGTTTTGGTTTGGTAACTAACTAATGGATCTAGGCAATAAATATCAGTGACTACTAAAATCAGAAAAAAAGAGTGCCACATACTACACATCTTCTAACAGGAGAACCCAACATAATCTATGAAGCAATCTTGCCCACAAAATTTAAACCTAATTCTGATTAAACATCTAGGTCAAAATAGAAGGATATGTTAAACAGAACCACAGGGCTATAATCAGAAACATCCAGACTGTGAGAATCTCTACAGGACGAAGAATCTGATTTCTTTATCAGATAAATTATAAAGTGGGGTAAAGGGAAACTGTAGATGAAAGGACACTTAAAAAATTGCATGTATGGGCCTCATTTGGATTCTAATTTCTTTTTTTTTTTTAAAAAGAGGGGAGATAAAGGCATTTATGACACCATTAAAAATTTGAACATTTGCCTAGATATCTGATGTATTGAGAGATTATTGCTAATTTGTTAATGTGTGATAATATACTATGATAATGTTAACAAAAAAGGCTCACTATCTTTTAGAGATACATACCTAAATATCTACAGATGAAATGATATAATGTCTTGGATTTGCTTTAAAATAATCTAGTGGTAGGTGAAAAAGTAGGTGGGGACACAGAAAAAACAAGATTAGTCATGGATTGATGATTGCTGAGGCTGGATGAAGGTAGGTAAGAGTTTGTTGTTCCACGTTCTTTTTACTTTTCCATATGTTTAAAAGTTTCCAGGAGAAAGGATTAAAATAAATTCCTCCTGATGTCATTTTCAAAGTAATAATATTGTCCTGGCTGCATCATGGTTCTGACAAATATCCCTTTTCTTATGTTTCATGCATAATGGAGAGTTGAGCTTCGTGCTTCCGATCATCCATCTCGGGAACGCCATGGAGCATCTCAATCACCCTCCCTGCTGGGCTATGCCAATATGGCATTTGGGAGCAGATATACATAAGCATACAAAAATGTGTTAAAAAAAAAAAAAAGATTTCTCACGACACAAATACCTTGTCTGGAAGCTGCAAAGGGTGAGGGACTCTTGATTTCATAGGGCAAGGACACTGGAATTCTATAGAACCAAACCTGCCTGGCAAAGGCATTTGATGAAGTTCATGGTCAGGAAGAAAGAAGATAGTTATGGTGTTGAGGTTGGGAGGTGTTTCCATTCTGCAGTTCTGAGCAAATGACAAGGCAAATTAAGATGATGAGGGACACTAGTTGTGTCCCCATGCCATTATTTCCATCAGTGCAGCTCCATGGAGCTTCCTAAATTAGATGATAATATGTGTGGGAAGATAAACTACCCAAATTCTCTACTGGGAGTCCCAGGGGTCAGAGAAACAAAGAGCAGAGTTGGGGAGACAAGAGAGAAACCTCAAGCCTTCTCACTGAGTATGGGGTGGTGGGAGGAAATAAAAATTAGGGACCAGGAAGTAAGAAACTCTGATGTGATGCTTATCTTTAAAAATGGCATCTCCCGGCCCTGAGGATAAAGTCCGTTATTTAGGGTAGCTTATGTGGTTTCTGTTTCTTTTTCCAGCCTCACCAGCATGTATTCTAATTGTACCTTACAGGGTTAGAAGTCCCCCCTGTGGGCTTCCTTTAACCCTAGAGTTCGCCCCATTGGGGCACTTCTCATACTGTTGGAAATGGCCTGTTTACTTGTCTGTCTCCCCAACTAGCCTGCAAACTCCTTGGGGGCAGGTACTTTTTTCTGTTCTTTGTGGTATCTCATCACATAGGAAAGGATCTGACATATAGAGGTGCTCAAAAAATATTACCAGTATGGTTGGAAATCACTATAGAAGCAGGGTAGAGTAGGGGTTATGAGCGTGGGCTTCGGAGTTAGTCAGATGTGGGTTTGACTCATGGTCCTACCAGCTCATTATACCTACTTAATGGATTCTGTGTTATGGTTCTCAGATTTTACTACTAACTTATTATACGACCTCAGATTTTGTAAAACACTGAGATTTCCCTGGAAAGAATAAAGCAAATAACTGTAAATTCTGTATTTCTGAAGTATAACAATGTCACTAATCCAGGAAAATAATTCTAGATTTCATCGTGAACCTACCCGGAATAGTTTCCAGTGATGGTCGTATAATAAGAAATGCTAAGATTCTAACTATCCAGAATGCCTGAGACTCACCTTAAAGGGTTGGGTGGTGGAGTGGGGCAAATGAACACTCGATGACAGAACCGTTTGAGTAAATAAGCAAACCTGTGCATCTTCAAACGTGTATCTCCCTCCATCTTTGACGTTTTGACTGGTTATCTCATAGCTGTGAGAATCCAGGTTGATTGCACTTTGGGCCCCTGGAGCCAGAAATTCTTGCCAGATTTCTTCCACCCTCTTGAACACATCCTGTAGGGGTTGCTTCTTAAGATCTTGGACAGCCAACCAGAACCTGAAGTGGAAGCATAAACACAAGTGGTTCCAGGGGCTCCGTATCTAGACTCTGCTAGAGTTGGGTCCCAGAACTGATATTCCAGGAAACTCATTCTGCTGTCACGCCAGCCCCAGCCTGCCCTGATGCTACTCATGGATCACAATGACCATGCGGTTGCTAAAAATACAAAGGGTGTTCCACTATTGTGGAGAAGTGAAAAGTGCACATTAAGATACCAGTGTGCTTCTGTGACCAAAAAGATACTTCTTTCAATCTATATCAAGGTTTTTCAACCTCAGCACTATTGCCATTTGGGGCTGGATAATTCTTTGTTGTGGGGGCTGCCTTGTACATTGTAGGATGTTTAGCAGCATTCCTGGACTCAACTCACTAGATGCCAGAGCATGCTCCAGTTGTAACAACCAAAAATGTCTCCAGACATTGTCAAATGTCCCCTGGGGTAGGGCAAACTCCCCCCTGGTTGGGACCCACTGATCTACATACATGCCCCTCTTCCATTACACAATGTGAATGCCTTTGTCAAATCTGGCTGGGATCAGTTACAGGTGTCAAAATGAAGGAAAGGCCAAATACGCAGACAGAAAGAATCCCGCAATGGAGTGTTTGAGCTGGAATGAACCAGCCATTCACGTGATCGATGGAGAAACTGAGCTGACACGTGAGAGTTCACATGAGTGCTCAACAAGGTGCTTGGCATACGGTAGGTGCTCAATAAATGGCTGTAGGATTGAAGATGGGCTCATCTGGAATAAAGCTGAAGGAGCATACATGAAGAGCTCTCTGCTGAAAGAGTCTCTAGGCAGCACCAGGGAGAAAAATCTCTCACTCACTTCTGTATTTGCCTTTCACTAATCCTCCACAGAGTCCCTGGGTGGTGCCAACGGTTAACACAATTGGCTGCTAACCAAAAGGTTGGTGATTCGAGTCTACCAGGGGCACCTTGGAAGAAAAGCCTGGCAATCTACATCCAAAAAAACAGCCATTGAAAACTCTATGGAGCACAGTTCTACTCTGACACACATGGGGTTGCCACGAGTCAGGATCAACTCCATGGCAACTGGTGGGTTAATCTCTCAGCATCAGCATCACTGCAGCTGTTGGGAGGACTGGGTGTGAGCTTTTTTCTGCTGAGAGCAGCAGCAACCAGAGCTGAAGCTTGGACAACAGCATCCCAGGTTCTGAGGATGACTCCCAAGGCCATCCTGGGGAGGGAAGGCTTTCAGCAGGACCCAGGTCTGGGTGGCACACCTTTTGCCCTGAGAATGGGGCAAGCCAGTTCCCCATCAATGAGTTATGAATACAGGTCCCTGGGCTGTGTGGTTTCCACCGCCTCGGGAATCACAGTGAAAGGGCAGGGACAAGAAAAGCTCAATGACGACATGGGGGAAAGTGTATTCAACCTGTCGTGGAATTTCACCTAAATTGAGATATACTTGTTTTTTTAAAACAAGTATTAAGCATGTTTTTCTGTTGCTGTTCAAAGAAATGTTTTTGGAGCCAAATGCATGGCCCAAAGGTGCCACTCAGTGGTCCCCT